CGGGTCACGATTCATTATAAAATTCAGCTACGCGCATTCTGTTATTATTTTGGAGTGAACCCTCCAACGTCGATCTTTGAGCGAGGCGTCGAGCAAGTCACATATATAGTAATTTTTAGATTTATTGCTTTGCTGAATTCCAGTCTTTTTTATTATCTCCCGAAATTTCGTTTTAGAGAGGGCCCATTTCCATAAATATATGAAATTCATGTTATTCATGAATTCGTTGAAGTTTGTACCTCTAATGTTAAACTAAATTTAGTGATTATTATTATGTGGGGTCAAACAAAGAGTAGCTAGTCTCCGAACATTGAATACACCAAAAGGCTGCCATGAGAGCGGGGCACGAGACAATGCGAAATACAAAATAAAATGATTAGCACGCGGGTTTGGGATTGGATTGTCCCATCTTTTATAGAACTGTGCAATATTGTTTCTTCCTAAACCGATTCGTTCCTATTTCCAAGCATTGTTTCTCTGCAGCGTGTTGCAATATCGTGCCCTTGCCTTTTTCTCTCAAGAAATTATTTCAGAGATGGTTCGTATCGCCACTGAGGGTGAGTACGTGCCATGGTACTCGCGACGAGCGTGTCCAGTGTTTTGTTATCCTTGCGTGCCAGCTTACATGGGCGTCTGGAAGGCTAGGTTTGTTAATTTAATTAGTTCAAATAACGCACAAGCACCATGCAATTTATGCAGAGAAGAAAAAGCGAATGCGCTTCCAGTGGCACAAAAGACGTCGGAGATTGTTGTATTAAGATTTCTCTGATTAATTTAAACCTACTACCAGTAATGACTTCGAATTTTGCCCCGAAATTTTCAGCATTAATGAGCCTTCTCTTGCTCAAGTTTTTCATGCGATTTGCTATTTAAAAGGCAATACCTCTTTAATTTTGTAAATACTTGAAAAAAGGGAAGCAGCTTTAAAAGCGGTATATTAGCGCTCCCAGATAGACTGTTTCAGCTTTTCTCTAAGTTTCTAGTTGAGGAGATATTTGCGTCGAGGATCTATCGAGGACGATTCTCGGCCGCTCAAAAAGTCGCTTCCTTCTTCACCATTGCAAGCTAATTCGTTGGCAACTCTCGAAATGTGTCTAGAATACATTCTTCCAACGTAAGCGAAAAAGCGAAAGGGGCAATCGTCATCGTTTCACTTCGTCTCAGTATAGGCCATGCATCCGACCTCCACTCATGTTGCGGATCAATTGAAAAGTGCTTTGTGATGATGACCTGTTGAGAAAGTGCACTGTAGTAAAACATTTCGTAACTCCTACAACCTAAAGAGCGCCTTCATCTGCATGGGGCACTTTCTTCGGTTCTTGCAGCAGCTTCCCTAACAACAGTGTCAAGGATGGCTGGTTACTGACCCCCACGATTACATCCCTATAACCTACCGTAGCAAATACGGCCCCTTGTCAAGGATTTCCTTGAATGATATTGACCCTGCCGGTGGCAGGCTGAGATTAGTCAATTTTTAGCTCCTTCTCAGCTGTTGGCACCCTGCTATAGCAGTTTCTTGTGTAATCAGTTGCGTGCTGTCCAATTCACAGCTCGAATTCCAACTCAAAACTGAGAAGGTGTTTTCAACTAGGCGCGACTTCGCGACACTGCCAGTACCCCTGCATTCAGAGGTCCTGCGCATTCTTGAAGGAACGGGTTGCGATCGAATCCGTGTTTATTTTGTTCGAAAATTAGACATGAATCATTGCGGGTAGCATCATAGAGAACATTGAGATTTTTCTTTTGGGTCGACCGCGGTACGACGGGAGACATACATAGCTCTGCAAGGAGAGGGAAAACGCAGAGAATACGTCGTAGGCGAGATGGCGCTGACGGCATGCATGAATGTTCGGAGCGGCCAAAAGACCTTTTCATTTTCTTTTTCATTTTCATTTTCACGCATTTTTAAGTCACAACACTGCCACTGCTCCCCGAATTTAGAGTTCCTACTGCCTAACTCAAGAAGCAATCTCCTCTAATTTCCTCTAATTTGCGACTAGTGCCGGTAACCAGTGCCGGGTAGCGAGATTGCAATAGATCGAAGGACTACTAAATTGAACGGCTTTGAGTGTGGTGTTACTCAGTAGTTATCTAAAATTTGCGACTGACGCTTGGGCAGACGCCTTCGAAATCTTCTTCTCACAATCAGTGAGGTGAAGTGCCGCAAAAACGACCACATTAACGAAGGCTAAGCTGCTGCTGTGGGACTACAGAAAGACGCAAAGAGCAACCAAAAGAACTCCTCAACCGTTGGAATAGAATTGATTGTTAACAATTTTATTAGACATTCCATTGATCCTCTCGTTCCTATTCACGTAAGCTGTACATGTAGAACACAAAAGTTTTTAAGAAAATGCGTTTTGGTTACGGGTGCAGTGCTGTTCTTCATCGGTGTAATCATTCTACTCGCCATGCTTCTCACATGCATAGCCGTCGAATGCTCCAATGTGTAAGTTGAAATTTGAAAACAGAGATATTTTTGGTATATAAATACTTTTTCCTAACCTTCTTTTCTCTTCTTATCTTTTTTCTTAACATTTTCACCTTTTCTCCACGAACTCTTTTTTTTTCTAAGAAGTTAGGACCGCCACATTTACTGCACCTACGTGACTTGCTTCAGCATTGATCTGTCTCGAACTCCCGTTAATTCAGATGCGTGGGAACTATGTTAAACACTGGAAGATTTCAAACATCTGAAAGCAACAACCCTCAGATGAGGTCTTGTCAATCATTTTATTCTGTAGGTAGGATGGTAGACCGCGAGCATCACTGTTGCGCCATTGTCACGGCTCGAAAAAGTGCGCAAGGGCCTTGCAAAGTGAGCTAATGACGATTAATGTGATAGGGGAACGAGATACCTTGCGCATACTCCATGACACAAACGCTGATCACGACGTAGCGGCCAGTTCAAATAGCGTGGGTTAGCGGAGCATCGAGTAAGTTAGGACAACTCGTCCGGACACGCCCCTATCCTATTCCAGACGGAAAGAGAGGAACTCCAAAAGAGATGTTGAGGGCTTCATCGACGGACTGTCTGCATCCGTTTTTATTTTCCGTCAACTTGGCATCCACATTTTAATTATCAACCGATGTTCGCCCACCAATTTGATCTGGGTGTTCTGCTTATATATTCAGTATGGAAGCTTTCTTAAAATGTGCATTAGATTCTACACATCCGGCCTTTTCAATCAAACAAAGGCAACTAATTTCCTCAAGGATGGCGATCAACCACAATGTTGAAGGCTGCTGTTGATTTAGTGCGCGTTCTCAACTTTACTCTGGAAATGTCCATCGGTGGTTGTTTTGGTTGGGAAACTTTGAAAATTTAACCGGTTAGCACTATCCCTCTTGCAGTTGATTTTGACTGATCGTTGGGATTTTGCTGTTCCACTGCGGTTGGGCTTGCACACACCTACTAGACGACAGCGGCCAAATACCGATCAAGTTAGTTCTAACCATTTTTTACCAGCATTTCATTTTTAATCAAGTTCCTTAACACAATTAAACTGATCCTTGATTAGTAATGCTTCGAATTTTTTTGTTCATCTCTGACGTTTATGGTGATACTTGTCAATACACAGTAGTGGTAGATGTGGAGGTGAAGTATTTACTTACAAGTGGCGCACATTCCTTGCCCGCATTGTCCAGGAAAAAAATTAAGGATCGAGTGATGTTCAGGCGAACCAAGTTCCATTATTCCAGAGCACTTTCACCGGGACAGAATTTGCCCGAAAGCATAAATTGATCTATATAAAGGCCGTTCCCTAACGCGTTGTATGGGTTGAATAGGTATCTGGAGTGTCACCATGATTCCAAATAGAGCCAAATTTTTTTTTAGAAATAGAGATCAAATTTCAAGCGGTTTTCAAGGACTATCATGAGCTCCAGGCGCTTCATTATATGTTTATTCCTCATGTTTGCGACTTAAGCAATTAGCCAAGCCCTATGCAGAAGCTAATTCAACTTAAAAGAGGATTCCGCGATAAGACCAAAGGTGAAAGAACGACAACTGAGCTGTAGGGAAGGGCCCTAAGGGTACGAAATTCGCAGCGAAGGATGCCTCCGCCGAAGTGGGGGGGGGCCTCCCCGCAGCGCTACCTGCGCACTATCGCCGCATTACGCCCCCTCTCGCGCATCTCGTGTCTTAGTCTCTAGTGTTCAGCAGATAGAGCACTAGTTTTGAAGAGGACAGCATTGATGAGAGTCACATCAGTGCGCGAACCAACGGGCAAGGTGCCACTTTTCTCGGCTTTTTCTTCCTTCGTGCGTCATTTACCACTTCTACAGTGCGTTTCAAAAGTATGTGCACACCCTCAAAATTCACGTTTGAAAGGGAACCATGAGGTTTCGTGCTATGAAATCCTTCTCAATCGATTTCTCGTAGTCGATAACCTATCAATGGAAGCAAAGCAGATAATATCGCCTCACTTTCGAAAAAAAATTTTGGATGAAATTTTTTTCTTTGTTTCAAAAGTATGTGCACACTTAACAAAAGACAAAAACATAGCTGAGATTAGAAATCAGTGGGGCCTCCAGAGTTTCTAATTAGCTCAAACATCCTGTCCGGCATAATCTGAACCACGTTTGGCATAGCTGTTTCGTCGCTGTCGGCCCAAATAGCCTCTACCGCCGCCTTCAGTTCATCCGCGGTATTATACTGCCGGTTGCTAAAGTTAACGCCTTGAGTTCAAGGACCTACAATACCGCCACTAACTTTTGAAATTTCTCCGCTGAGCGACGGATTTGCAGCGTCGCAAAGCGTCGCCCCTTCATAACTCCCCCCAAAGCGGGTCAAATGATTGGTGCTCTACACCATTGGACTCGTCTCTCTGTGGCGAGTCTAACCATGTGGAAAACTACGGTACTCGCCGTAAAAAATCGAAAAAAACACGCGAAAAACGCAAATTCGCGTTTCTTTTTCGTTTTTTCGTTATAACTCGCTTCAAATCAAGATTTTCGAAATCTGAAAAAAGCATTGAACTCAGCTCGTCGAGTTCTATAAGAATGTATGCTTTTAAACTTTTGGAAAGCCTTACTTCAGATTGCGCCATGCACTCGAGCTTTGGCTCGAGAAAAAACTGTTTGAATGTGGTGCGCATATAATCCCGCTTATGCATCATGATCGTTCTTCAGAGAGATGGGTCTCAGCAGTTGCCCCAGAACGCGCCGCGTATTCAACATCGTCCATTGTATTGTGAATGGATCGATTGCTTTTTTCCAGATTTCATGGTCCCTATTCCACAGCGGCGCGTTAAATGACTTAACACGTAGTCCCTGCGCTCAACATCTCCTCCTCTCGTGTTCAAATGGAAATCATAGATCAATTCTCGGCTGGACAGTTAGCCTATCTGGTGAAATTTTCCAATGTTTGAGCGAAGGTTTTTCCGAAATCTGAGGAGGTAGCGGGGAAATTTCTTCACAGTTGTAGAGTACGCTTACTTGTGTGTAGGAATAAGATCACACACTTGCTTGCAGATGACCGCTCCCTGCGTGCTGTGGCCATGAACATGCCTCCTCGTCATGCCCTAGCCTATTTGGTGAAATTTTCCAATGTTTGAGCGAAGGTTTTTCCGAAAACTGAGGAGGTAGAGGGAAAATCTCTTACTGTTGTAGAGTACGCTTACTTGAGTGTAGAAATAAGATGACATACTTGCTTGTAGACGAGCGCTTCCGCCGTGCTGTGGCTGTGAAAATGCCTCCTCGTCATGCCCTTGTGGAAAGATCAGATTTTTTGCATTTCCAGATGAACTCGCAGACCTGAGATGTGCCCCATTGGATTCCCCGTGAAAAATGCTATCGAATGATATGCATTACTCCTCCCAGTTGAAACTTTGGTTTTTCACCGTTTTCAGCCTTCCCCTATTGCCGATTGGGCATCATTATTCCACTATTACTGCCCCAAAATCTCAAAGTTTCATTTTTCGTCGAAACTTTGCCTATTGGGGTAATTCGATGCCCTGATTACGAATATGACATTCATTCTCGTAGTGTGGCCCCAAACATCACACCTCGCCCCATTTTTTGCGACATGTTCCATGTTTAGAGCAGATGTTATGTAGAAAGCTGTGAAGGCAGCGACGAATTTCCTTACTGACGTAGACTACGGTTACTTGTCTGTAGGAATTACATAGAAACCTTGGTGGCAGGTGAGTCTTCCTTCCGTAGTGTGACCCCAAACATCACACCTCGTCATGCCCTTGCGATATGATCAGATTTTTTTGGTTCTCCAGATGAACATAGAAGACTGAGATGTGCACCATTCAATTCCCCATAAAAAATACTGTCGAACGGTATACAACTCACTTTCTGGAGAACATCTAGTTTACCTGCCACTAGATCCATTTTGTGACATTTCCCAATTTTCGAAGGGATGTTTTGAGGAAATTCGAGAAGGGAGGGACGAACTCTCTTCCCTATCGTAGAGCAAGTTTACTTGTATGTTGGAAAAAGATGATATACTCGGGCTTGAGTGAGTGTTTCCTCCCTGGTGTGGCCTCAAACATCGCTCTCCGTCATGCCCTGAAATAAAAACCAGATTTTTTGGTCTTCCAGGTGGCTCTACGGAGCTGTGGTGTACACCATTCGATTCTCCATGCAAAATGCTATCGAACGATATACATCTCAGTTCCCACTTGAAACTTTCGTTTTTCACCGTTTTCGGCCTTTTCCTTATCGCCGATCGCCTTCCTCAGCCCTGGTCACGTGCGTGCGTGAGAGCTCACGTGACAGCCGATGGCCTTTCTCGGTAGCTGGCGGGCAGCCCGATCGATACACCGCTATGCGTGTCGAAAGTGCGTGGGAAAGTCATCACGCACCGCGCACGTGAATAGCACGTGGGTGGCCAGGGCTGACCAGGAAGGTCTTTCAGGGCGTGACAAGCTTTTTGAAAACGGTCTTTTGCATGATATAGGGGCAGATGCGGGAACCACAGAACCATGTTAATTTCCAGAAAAGGAGGTCCCTAGTTCGATTCCTCGTGGTAACAAATTTTTGCATTTCGAGTTGACGTGCCAAAATTCGCGCAAAATGGAGTTAGAACCAACCAGAACAATCAGAACTCCATTTTGCGCGAATTTTGGAACGTCAACTCGAAATGCAAAAATTTGTCACCCAGAGGAATCGAACTAGGGACCTCCTTTCTGGTATTCAGAGGGCCGTTCAGGAAAAATTAAACATGGTTCTGTGGTTCCCGCATCTGCCCCTATATCATGCAAAAGACCGTTTTCAAAAAGCTCGTCACGCCCTGAAAGACCTTCCTGGTGAGGAAGGCGATCGGCGATAAGGAAAAGGCCGAAAACGGTGAAAAAACGAAAAGTTTCAAGTGGGAACTGAGATGTATATCGTTCGATAGCATTTTGCATGGAGAATCGAATGGTGTACACAGCTCCGTAGAGCCACCTGGAAGACCAAAAAATCTGGTTTTTATTTCAGGGCATGACGGAGAGCGATGTTTGAGGCCACACCAGGGAGGAACACTCACTCAAGCCCGAGTACATCATCTTTTTCCAACATACAAGTAAACTTGCTCTACGATAGGGAAGAGAGTTCGTCCCTCCCTTCTCGAATTTCCTCAAAACATCCCTTCGAAAATTGGGAAATGTCACAAAATGGATCTGGTGGCAGGACTATACTAGGATGTTCTGGAAAGTCGGAGTTTCTGGAATATACCATCGACAGTATTTTTTATGGGCGAAGGGAATGGTGCCACATCGTGGCAATTTCCTATGGTTCGTTCTGGGAGGGATGACTCAGAGGAGATAAATACTGCATCATATTTGCGATAAGGGCCATCGACGGGTCGCTGTGATGTTTGGGGTCACACTACGGAAGGAAGACTCACCTGCCACCAAGGTTTCTATGTAATTCCTACAGACAAGTGTAACCGTAGTCGTCAGTGAAGGAAATTCGTCGCTGCCTTCACAGCTTTCTACATAACATCTGCTCTAAACATGGAACATGTCGCAAAAAATGGGGCGAGGTGTGATGTTTGGGGCCACACTACGAGAATGAATGTCATATTCGTTAATCAAGG